GTATTTCACTAGGGGTCTTGCTGTGCTAGATATATCCGGACTAGGGAATTTGTAAGACAATCTTCTCCCTTTTAATCACCTGAAAAGCCAGTTTCCCTGCTCCCTTTGGCCAGAAGTATTGGTTTGTCATTTGTCACATGTTAGGTTCTTACAAAGACTGTTCATCCCTAGCCAGCAAATCAGACTGTTCTTTTTATCCTTCTCAGTCTTAAAAATAATAGATTTTATCAGAGTTAAACTTTTAAACTAATTTTACGTGAAAAACACTAGAAACAGATTTGGTCAAAAACATCATTTTAGAGAGAGGAACAGGGGGACCTGGCATGAAATCCTTTTCAGGTTATTAAACTTTTAAACTAATTTTATGTGAAAAACACTAGAAACAGATTTAGTCAAAACCATCATTTTAGAGAGAGGAACAGTGGGACCTGGCATGAAATCCTTTTCAGGTTAATGATGCAGAGTCTCAAATCTTACTCTTTAAGAATTTATCAAAAGTTCACAGAACTTGTCACGCTTTGGGTCAGAACTTCAACCTGTAGACATACCTAGCTAGGCTGCTGGAAAGTCTAATCTCAGTTAGTGAAACTATGTGTTTAGAGAGCTTTTTGGGTTTTTAAGTTACTGCGCTATGACAGACATCAAAATATGGTCTTAAACGGTAGTTCCTTTTTAACAGTTCTCAAAATTTCAGCCTAAACGTGGGTAATTAAGTTGTAAAAATGAGATCACAGGAAGAGGAGAAGGTTCTGAGGTCTGTTCTGCAGTCCTGTGTTAGGCAAAACTAGTATTCACCATAGTAGGAATAAAACAGCGTTGAGCTAATCATTTAAAATAAAGGAAATGTTTCCAAAAATAATTTTTCATAAGAAAAAATGATGTTTTCTTAGCCATGGCAAGCGTTTAAATATTCTTAAAATTATGCTTATGTAGTGAAATAAACTGCTTTCTTGTATCTGATGTTAGCATTTTTTCTTCAGTGGATATGGCATGATAACATGCAGTTTCTTCAAGACAAGAACATTTTTGAACATACATATTTTGGGTAAGTTTTTCTTTAAAAATGTAATATTAATGCTTCTTTTCTTCTTGCAGATTTTCATTATTTCTTTTAATTAACAAATAAAATTACTGACTCTAGGTTTATGTGGCAGTTGTGTAGTAGCATCCCAAGCACGCTACCAGATCCAAAAGCAGTTTCCCTGATGACAGCAAAGGTAAGTATTTCAAAAGTATATCATGCTTATTTAAAATTTTACCTTGTTTACATTTTAATTCAAGCATTCTATAATTAATGATGCAATATTTTTTTTCCAGTTAAGCACTTCCTTTGTACTAGAGACATTTATTCATTCAAAGGAAAAGGTATTCTATTTACTTGTAAATTCTCATTAAGTAGCTGCATGAATATAGTGAAAAGTATGTCTGTACTTTTTCATTTTAGAAGTGTGATTTTGAGATGTAATAAGTACCGTAGATGATACAAAGTTAATGTTTAAAGAATATCATTTAATACATTTGTAGTAAGCAGTGCACAATGGAAAAAAAGTAGGTTCTGGTTTTAGCTTACTTTGCCTCAGCAAAGCGTCAGGAACAACAGATTTTGTGTTCTTTTCGTTTGGAAATTCCTGGGTGTTTTGGATCTTGACAAGCATTTGTTAAAATCTGATGTAGAAGGGATTGTTTACCATTGAGCAACAGTTGTGCTCATGAATTTTTAAGTCATAAATACTAGCATGAACAACAGGAAAGTTCTGTTCTCTCTGAACCATCTTTATTCTCGGTCAGATTTTACTTCTTTCTCATCTGTGGTGACATAATGCTACTAATTCTAGATTGTCTGGGATTAGTAAGAATGTGATTGCAATTACAATTGGACAGAATTACATGGATAGCTACTACGCATTACGTGCGACTTGCATTAGTTTCAATGTATGTACTGTGTATTTTTGTGTAGATGCAATGTATTACTAGTTTATAAAGCATTTACTGTTTATAACTATATTAAGATTCGATGTTCTAACTGACCATTTAGAAACATTTAAAGATTAAGTTGCAATTTATTATTTTAAGTTATGTTTTTTTCTGTATTTCTTTTTGCAGCCTACAATGCTTCAGTGGATTGAACTGTTAACAAAACAGTTTAATAACAGTCAGGCAGCTTGTGAAGTAAGTGACTTAGGAACTCAGCAAAGTACAAACCAACTTTCTATATATTGTTTAACTTTCCTGGAGGTTCGTATCCCTGGAATATTTTGGACTATGAACTACTGTATTTGGCATATTTGTGCACTATCAGATGAAATTCATTCTCTCTGATTACTGCAAATTCTGGCGAATGACTTGACTTTTATTTTCAGAAACCTATGGTGAGACCACAGGCCAAAATCATCTTGTCACTGGAATGAGAGATAGAGTGTCACAACCTCTTTATTTGATTGATTATTACATACTGATTTGTGTAATTAAGAGGTGTTTAAATGAAATCACACAAGAGAAATGGAAAGACAGACTAATGCTTAAGGGCTAGAATGGCAGGGACTGGAGTTGAATCCAAGCGAAGAGGTCAGTGAGATAAAAGGCTGCGGTGCGATGAAGAAGCTTAGAAAGGGAATAAGAACAGCTAATGTTAGACTTGGGTGAAAACAAAGTCATACAGTGCCTTGCTTGTGAAGCTGTGGATCTTGAACCCAGTGTGTAGAAAGACTGAAAACTCCTAGAAAGAGGAGAAAAAAGCGGGGGAATATTTTTGTGTAAAATTTTTCAGGATGCTGCCTGAAGGGAGTCTGGGACAAAGTGGAGAGGGACTGAGAAACCATAGACAAAGAATTCACTGTGGTGTTGGCGAAAACAATTTTGATACTGAAGAAAAGTTTGTGAAAGACTTTCTGTGATAGTATACACTGGGGTCCTTGTACATTTAAACTGTGTCCTGCATTAGACCTTATTCAGTAGAAATGAATTAAATTCATTGTTCTTTTATAAATTGATTCTAGGTTGTTAAATTGTTACATAATGTGCAGTACTTGGGTGATACAGCTTCGTTAGTATGGTGTAGTCCTAAAATGCTTAAAAGAAGTGAAGACATTTAATACAGCAAAGAATACTCGGGTACAATTGAAACGAAGAACACTTTGGATTCTTTATTTTAAACTGCCTTTCCTTGGGACTAAGACAAAATTCTGGGAGTCAGAATACTCGTCTGTATTATTTGCTGAGTCTTAACTTTTAATGAGTCATTCTGTTATTTTTACACCTTTTCTGTCTCTGGAGGTAGTAAGGCTGTTCCACATGTTGAAATGCAAAAGGGATCTAATTCAGGAACCACATTCTAGTTTAAGCCTATCCCTCTTCTACAAGATTCTTCAGCTTATGCTTCATTGTAGGCATCATTTTTTATTCTGTTGACATCACTTTTCAGGATAAGCGTGTTCTTCCAGATAATTGAATAATGGCATGCAGAACACAGGGATAAGAAGATAACTGGATATGAATTTATATTGGTGTTTACTGCTATTGATCTTTATTCCTTTCTTCTCACACACAGAAGGCTTTTAGATTTCCCTTGGATTAAAACTTGTTTATTCCTTAATAGTAACATCAATTTCTCTTCAGACTTTAATATCATGCAAAAAGAAGATTGGACTAGAACAAGTTTGGAACAAAACTAACAAAGTATGTATCTTCTGCAGTGGTTTTTGGATCGTATGGCTGATGATGATTGGTGGCCAATGCAGATTCTAATAAAGTGTCCCAATCAGATTGTGAGACAGGTAAGAAAAAATGTTCCTTTATAAGTCAGGTGACTACTTGACCCGTGAACAGAAATGGACTATTATTATGACACGTACAATGAGTCTGGAATTTTTTATTAGTACCTGTAATTGTCTCGTTCTTTTCCGTTCTTGCATATGATTTAGAGAATAAATTTGACCATGGGAGCATTATTATTGTTTGAAACAAAATCGATATTAATATAGTGCCATAGTCGTACAGTTAGGATCACAAAATGTCACAATAGATGCAGATTAAGGCTTCTACAAATCCCTCATGATCTCTACAAATGTGAGCACTTTTCAGAAAAAAACGTTTTTTATGTATTAGTTCAACAATAATGCATCAAGATACGTGTTCAGAAAATAAAAAAGAATAAATTATGTACATTCAGTACTTCTCAAAGCTTCAATTCTAAACTTCTGCATTTGATTTTTGTGGGTAGATTTAATTCTGTAATCTTACGCCACAAAGTGTTGTTAATACCCTTTTCTAGAAATACTTAGAAAAACCCCCCTGTATTAGTAGTATTTGGATATTCACAAATACAAATATTATTAATAATTTCACTTGTAAGTGTACTTTCTTTGCAAGTTGTTTAAGTAAAAAGTTTAGCAATTACTTTATCTCACCTGAATCCTTCAATCAGGTTTCTGATTATTAAAGTAATATTTCCGTATAGAACCATACGTAGTTCCTGTGTGCAACACATCATTAAAGGAATTTGTTTAATGGGAAAATTCTATGCAAGTTCTTAGGCAAAGCTCTAATCCTGATGAGTGTTTTACAAATTAAAAATTACTGGAAGGAATTTCCTTAAGATTTTCACATAAATTCTTATAGCCAGAGGCAAAATTAAAAAAAAAAATTGCTCAAAATGTCTAAACATCTCAGAAAATAAAGATAGAAGAAAAAATAATGTTTATGAGCAGCAATCTTAAGTCATGTTTCAGTAGTGGACAGTGCACACCAATATTAAAAACTGGTTTTAGGGTTCCTCCATCAGATCTGTTTATAAAGAACAGGCTTGACTATTCTGTTAAAATACGATGTGTCAATACACTAAGAAATGGAATGTGGGCATCTCAATCTCAGCTTTAACTTTGAATCACATAGAGCTGGAAGTGGTACTTGGAGACGGAATATTCTTTGCTTAGAAAATGTGTTAACATATATGTAAAAGAATGAACATGTGGAGTTCATTTACTTATCCATTTGCAGATGTTCCAGCGTTTGTGTATTCATGTGATACAGAGACTGAGGCCAGTGCATGCACATCTTTATCTCCAGCCAGGAATGGAAGACTGGTAAAATAGTAACACTGGAAAACTTCTGTTTATTACATGCATTACCGCAATTACTTTTGTTTAATAAATTATTCAAAATGATCTTGTAAACCTAAAATGGTACTATTTTAATTGTTCATTATTATGGTACCCATAATGCTCTGACTTATTTAAAAGTATTATGGTCACAAAAACCAGTGTCTAAAGATACATTGTTTGAAACATTTGTTCCCTTTAGACTAGATTTGCAGTACCGTCTTTCTTTTCACTGCCAGTAATACACTGCAGGTGTAAATCTCACTACTTATACATGAGGTATACTTGTACAGAGGCATATAGGTGCAAATTTTAATTTGTACATCCAGTAAAAGAGGTTAGAGATGATAGTCTAGTCCTGTGTCATATAACTAAATCACAATTTTTGTCAAAAAGTAGAAAAAAACCCTACTGGATTCTGTTTTGTTCTGCTAATTATCAAGAAAACTGTCACTTTGTCTCCAATTATGAAATATTTATTCTTTTTGATATATAATGAGAAGAAGAAGAAAAAAGTGTTTTTTCTTTCATCTGTTAAGCTTTTTTCCAGAGCAAGAATGGCAGTTTGTAATAACCATACTGCCATAACAAAATTCAGGGCATGAAGATACAGTTTTCAAGGCAAAAAAGTAGAATTTAATTTTCACTGGAAGCCTTACTTTAAAAGACTCTGTCTTTTTGTTCAGCGATAAGATCTTACTTTCAGTAGATGAGTAAGGTTGAAAGTGCGTGTTTTCTGCCTTGTCAGGATCCTGTATATGTGTTTAGGAGACTGCCTTTCCTTAGTTGCATGGCATAATTAGCTGTAACAGCATTCTTTCTTGACACTTAGGAAATTTAACATGCAAATCAAGAAGGTGATTTTAAGGAGGAGATCCCCTAATACTGTTTTTCTAAGAATTCTTTTCCTGACTAGAATCTTGATTCAGAATACTAAGTTTATTAACCTTTCAGCATTTTTTGAGTGATGGATGCTACCTTACGTTAAGCTATGTTGTTATCTAGGCTATGCTTGGCGTAAGCATAGTGTTCATGTAGTTACCTAGGCTATGCTTGGCGTAAGCATAGTGTTAGAGACCTGAATATGGTAGTAGAACAGAGTATAAAACCGAATTTTTTTTTTTGACTGGTTCAAGATGATTTTATACTCCTTGTATTGTGTGAAATGTCTAAATTGGATTTTGTTTTCAGTTCGGATGACATGGATGGTCCTGTGGAAGACATTGGCAGTCGCTCTTGTGTAACACGCTTTGTGAAGACGCTCTTGTCAATTATGGAGCATGGTGTTAAGCCTCACAGTAAACATCTCACAGAATACTTTGCCTTTCTTTACGAATTTGCCAAAATGGGAGAAGAGGAAGTGAGTATAGCCTTGTAGTTTGGGGAATTAGGTATGTATATGCATGTATGTATTTTCAAGTAATTCCGTATCTGCGTATTTCAGAGCCAGTTCTTGCTTTCACTGCAAGCCATATCTACAATGGTCCATTTCTACATGGGAACTAAAGGACCCGAAAATGTAAGTTTGAATATCTTGTGTAACGAGAACTAATCTTTCACATTTTACATATGTGATCATTAGTGCTGTGTCTCTTGAACCATCTTTCAGCTGTTAAATTAAAATTACTTCACTCGTGCAATTTTTTTCAATATTTAAGTGAATGTAATATTTTTAAAAGATGCTGAATTGGCTATTTCTGTTTAGTATAGAAAGAGATATTAAGTAGAAGCAATTAAAGGTGCCCTTACTGTGCTATTAATGGTAACAATTGATTGCTTACTCCTATTATACAACTTGAGCTTTTAAATTTACTTGTTTTTTTTATTAAATAGACCAACATATCAGACTATGTAGTGACTTAAACCAGCCTACCTTTTGCATTTGTAAATGCACTTTAGCTTAGGCAAAATGAGTGCTTCAACATAAATATCAAGTGATGAGATATTTACTGGGTTTGATTCATGCAAGTTTATTAAGTTGTTTTGAATAAAAGCACATAATATATGCAAAACTATGTACAGGCTCTTTGAAATCAAGGTTCAAATTGTCTACATTGAAGTTGTTGGTTTTTTTTTCCCCTTCAGCCACAGGTTGAAGTACTTTCTGAGGAAGAAGGGGAGGAAGAGGAGGAAGAGGAAGATATACTTTCTTTAGCAGAAGAAAAATATAGGCCTGCTGCACTTGAAAAGATGATTGCCCTGATTGCTCTTCTAGTTGAACAGTCTCGCTCAGAAAGGCAAGAGTTTCTGAAAAACCAATGTAAATTCTAATCTAAGCTAGTTCAGAAAGAAATTAGAGATTTTATGGGGTGGAGAGTGGGGATTGTGGGCTTCTTTTACAGTATAAATGAGCTTGTATATGGGCCCATTATATTTTAACAATTTAAAAGATAAATGTTTTGTTTATTGTGGACCAAATAAAAGACTTGGGCTAAATCCTTGAACACATTCAGTTGCCTACATTTGGATTTCTTTTTTTATTTGGTCTAAGTACAAAATATTTATTATTTTTGTTCAGTTTTATGTCAATTCCTTTATTTTCTCTTGTATATTGTGATAGGGAAGAGTATAAATTATCGATCAGTCCTGTATTTCTCCTTAACTTTACTTAATAATGGCTGAAGTAAAATGATAAAGATTTTTTTGTATTTTAGGCATTTGACTTTGTCACAAAACGACATGGCAGCATTAACAGGAGGAAAGGTAATTCATTTAAAAATGACTGTATAAGCCTCAAAAAAACCCCGCACATATGGATGTGTACATATGTAATTGCAGACAGCGTACTAGTATCTTATTATTTGTTGCAGGGTTTTCCTTTTTTGTTTCAACATATCCGTGATGGTATCAACATCAGGCAAACTTGCAATCTCATTTTCAGTTTGTGTCGGTACAATAATCGACTTGCAGAACATGTAAGTATCAGAAACTATAGCTATTTGTTGAAAATCTTATCTAATAAATGTAATGGGGTAATTTTTATTATTTTAACTGAATAAGCACAAGTCTAAGTGAGTTTTGTTTGTTTTGTTTTTAAGATTGTGTCCATGCTTTTCACATCTATAGCAAAGTTGACTCCTGAGGTATGTAAACATACTACCTGTATATTAAATAATCTGTATTAGTATTTTTCTGTTTTAAATTACTTAAGTAATCCTTTGCTAGTCAAAAATCTTGCATGGAAGATGATCCATGGAAGTTTTTGTGACATTAAATGAAGTCTAACTGCACTGTGTATTAAGTTTTCTAAAGCAGAAATCTGGTATGCAGTTTAAGAAGAAAGTTTTATTCAAAGCCAAATAACGTATTTCTAGATTCTCCACCTATATGAATTTAAAAAAAAAGTTGGTAACAATAAAACATATATGCTAAATAAGTGGAGATAGGTAATTATCGTCTGGTTGTTCAAGTTTTGGGGCACTGTTTTGCAGTTCTGTGCATGCAAACACATTTCTCAGTCAGAATAAATTCCTGCACTGGTAATAACAAAAATACTGAGAGTTCCAAATGGCTTCCTTATGAAAAATAGATATGAAGTGGAGGAGTGTATGCTCCCACCAGGACTTTCTTGTATAGTGCTGTCAGAAAAGTAAAAATAATCAGAAAAAACTGAGGGCATGTCAAGCAGAGGAGACATGATCATGGTTGGAAAAGAAGCACATACTAAATCATTCTCATGACAGCTTTGCTTTGTGTGATAGAATGGGCACTATCAGATGACAGTCTACTTCCCTCCCATCATGCTAACATTTGCTACGTTTTTATGCTTTTTTTGCTTTGCGCTTATACACATGCACCAGAGGCATTTTTGGTGAGATGCAAAATATATAACAGTAGTAACCATTTTTATTGAAGCATTGTTACAAGCTGGGTGAGTCTTAGCAAACTTAAAAAAGAAAATTCATATTAGAGCCAGCATGTTAGAGTAGAAATGTTGGTGGTTTTAGGGGAAAACAGTATGCCAATAATAATGATCACTGTAAACCCTCAAAATGTGGTGCTTTTGGATAAACTTTTCAGGATCCATGTTACATATTATGCAAATACACAAAAATAATAGCTTCTCTGAGATAGTGAAATCTTCTATGTATATAAACCAGGATAAATTGGTGAATTCTTCAACACTGTACAGCTTGATTTTTTTTTTCCCCCGCCTTTGTTCAGAGTAGTGTCTGACTTAAAATGTGTATTGTTATTTCCTTGTAACTATATACTTCTACTAGACTGATCCTATCCAGTATGATTGTGCTGCCTTGCACTAGCTATAACCAGTGGCTTAATTCTACTGTATGCATGTGGGGTTATAGATACCTATGGATTATTTACAGATTAAATAATAAGGGATTAAAAGTAATATAAATGTTATTGTCTGAAGTTCATAGGAATCTATTCTTGTGCAAACGTTTGGGTTTTTAAAAAATACTCTAAAAAAATTAGTGGATGAAATGAAATAGATCAAAATGGATGTGTTTCTTTTTATGCATTGCAGGCAGCCAATCCTTTTTTCAAATTGCTGACCATGCTAATGGAATTTGCTGGTGGACCTCCAGGA